ATTGATTCATTTGATTCATTTAGTTTGGCGAGCAATTCATATAATGGATTGAATGTATTCTTCTTTTGGCACTCATAACATAATCTTAATCTATTTATTTTAGCATCTAATTTATATAATTCATTACTTAATTTATGGATTATTTCTGTTTTCCTATTTTTGTTTTCTTCTTTGTCTAATTCTTCTGAAATCTTTTTTAGTTCATTTAATGATTCATAAAATAAATAATAATAATTATATCTTTTTGCACAACTGGTACAATCTTCTATTATTTTTAATGTGCCAAGTAATTTGTTTGAAATAATTGATTCATTTGATTCATTTAGTTTGATGAGTAATTCATATAATGGATTTAATATATTCTTCTTTTGACACCCATAACATAATCTTAATCTATTTATTTTAACATCTAATTTATTTAATTCATTACTTAATTTATGGATTATTTCTGCTTTCCTATCTTCATTTTCTTCCTTGTCTAATTCTTCTGAAATCTTTTTTAGTTTATTTAATAACTCATAAAATAAATAATAATAATTATATTTTTTTATACAACTGGTACAATCTTCTATTATTTTTAATGTGTCAAGTAATTTGTTTGAATTAATTGATTCATTTGATTCATTTAGTTTGGTAAGTAATTCATATAATGGATTTAGTAGATTCTTCTTTTGACACTCATAACATAATGCTAGATTTATTTCAACATCTAATTTATTTAATTCATTACTTAATTTATGGATTATTTCTGTTTTCCTATCCTCATTTTCTTCTTTGTCTAATTTTTCTGAAATCTTTTTTAGTTTGTTTAATGATTCATGAAATAAATAATAATTATTATATATTTTTATACAACTGGTACAATCTTCTACTATTTTTAATGTGTCAAGTATTTTGTTTGAAATAATTGATTCATTTGATTCATTTAGTTTGGTGAGTAATTCATATAATGGATTTAATATATTCTTCTTTTGACACCCATAACATAATCTTAATCTATTTATTTTAACATCTAATTTATTTAATTCATTACTTAATTGATGAATTATTTCTGTTTTCCTATCTTCATTTTCTTCCTTGTCTAATTCTTCCGAAATCTTTTTTAGTTCATTTAATGATTCATAAAATAAATAATAATAATTATATCTTCTTTGTGCACAACTGGTACAATCTTTTATTATTTTTAATGTGTCAAGCAATTTGTTTGAAATAATTGATTCATTTGATTCATTTAGTTTGGTGAGTAATCCATATAATGGATTTAATATATTCTTCTTTTGACACCCATAACATAATGTTATTCCATTTATTTTAGCATCTAATTTATTTAATTCATCACTTAATTTATGGATTATTTTTGCTTTCCTATCTCCATTTTCTTCCTTGTCTAATTCTTCTGAAATCTTTTTTAATTCATTTAATGATACATAAAATAAATAATAATAATTATATGTTTGTGAACAACTGGTACAATCTTCTATTATTTTTAATGTGTCAAGTAATTTGTTTGAATTAATTGATGCATTTGATTCATTTAGTTTGTTGAGTAATGCACATAATGGGTTTAATATATTCTTCTTTTGGCACCCATCACATAATGCTAGATTTATTTTAATATCTAATTTATTTAATTCATCACCTAATTGATAGATTATTTCTGCTTTCCTATCTTCATTTTCTTCCTTGTCTAATTCTTCTGAAATCTTTTTTAATTCATTTAATGATTCATAAAATAAATGATAATTATATCTTCTTTGTGCAAAATTTGTACAATTTTCTATTATTTTTAATGTGTCAAGTAATTTGTTTGAAATAATTGATTCATTTGATTCATTTAGTTTGGTGAGTAATTCATATAATGGATTTAATATATTCTTCTTTTGACACCCATAACATAATCTTAATCTATTTATTTTAACA